AGTGAAATAATCTGCCAATTGAACAAGAAATGTTCCTATATTATAAAATATAGCATGGGACACCTAATTAGTACTTGTTTTAAGTCAATAATTAAGGAATTGTTGACTTAAAACAAGCCCCTCTTTCCTGCCATGAGATTTGAGTACTTGAAGCAAAAAGGGCAGAAGTTGACTGCAAAAACACAAAATCCTATCAAGTATCTTTGGTCTAGATTTTAGTGCAAATATCTTAAGACAAAACTAACTTAGAAGTAACAATAGTGCATTACAATATGGGACGCTAAATGGTACTTCTTCATCAGTATTAAGAACTTATTGATTTAAAACAAGCTCCTACTTCCTGATTTCATAACATGAAGTGAAACTAGACTGCAAAAGCACAAAATGTTGCAAAGTATTTTTGGGTCTAGTTTCTGAAATAAATTAAAACTAATTTAGAAATAACTTTTCAGCTAAAATAAGTTGAAATATGGGAAACCAGCCACTTTTTAAAAATCAATATTAAAGTAGTTAATGACTCAAAACGAGCTCATGTTTCTTGCTGAAAAGTTGCCTGCAAGTTAGTTTTGTCTTATTTCAAGCGTATGGAGATATTTGCACTTGAAGCTAGGACCAGAAATACTTGGTAAGAGTTTTGTGGTTTTGCAGTGCTGGTTCCACCCTTTTCACCTCCCTGCTTCTCAAATCTCCTGGGTGCACGCACGGGGCCGTAATGACATCTGGCCGGCTTACCGCTCAGGTAACAAGAGCCTTTGTGCAGATGTTCAATTTGCACCCCGGCTCTGAGAACTCCCACGGACTGCACAGCTAAAGGGCAGAGGGGAAGGCATTATTAGCCAGAAATCTGAAGGAAACAGCAATTACCTCAGAATGGCGAGACAAAGATAGAGGTGATTACTTTATTGCACCTCACTCCAATGGATCCCGGCATAGTCACTCATATATATCAGCATCGCCTGTGGTCGGTAATTGCTGTCAGGAGTCGTGATGCTATGATGAGAAGTCGGCGCGGCTTGAGCTGCTTTGGCTCGACGGTGTGAGAACGCACTCGGGAGAGGCAAGGTCAGGGATCTGCGGTGCATCTAGAGGCAAGAAAAAGCTCTCATAAAAAGAGAAGCTTGGCAAGGCCACAGAGGAAACGTTCGGGCCAACGTTGGGGTGCATGTCAAGGGAGACAGGGGGCAGCTGGCGATACGTTGTACCCTTCACCCGGCCCCACGGTGTTACAAAAATCCCATCTCCTTTGCTGCCTCTGGCTCGACCCACCTGGCCTCCGTCTCCATCTGTTCCCCTCTAAATGTCAAGGGGATGCAACAGGAAAGAAATAAGGAGCTGGTGTGTTGGAGAGGAATGCCAGCCAGATTGATTACATAAATACAACACAGGAAATCAATAGCTGTTTCATTTAGGACATAAATGCTGCTTTATTGGATCCTTTTCTCTTTGTGCCGACCTTTTTGAACAGGATAAAGCTGCCGCTAGTTTGCAATTTATTCCATTGTGAACAAATTCAATGAAACGATCAAAATCGGCGGTTAATCTCATTATATTTACGCTGCCTGACTGCGACACACGTTCTCATATCAGTATCAGTCCTTCTAACGCCCAAGACATTTCACAAGACATGGGCATTATCGGGTTTAAACAGAGTTTCTGGAATGAGTGAGCGATGCTTTTATGTGAAACTATTTTCAGATAGGGATTAGCTGCCAGATTTTCCAGAACCAGGATGTGAGACCGACTCGAGTAAATTAGACTTCTCAGATTTCTATGTAAATCCCTTAAAATTCTGCATGCACCCTGAATGCGAAATCGTTCTTTTACAAGTCTTGATTAAACACCGAACAAATTACCACACGAGTCTCTGAAGGAAAAAGAATGAGCAGCTTTTCCTTCGCATCTCACAAACACGCATAGTGAAGGAGACGTTGCCTTACATCTGATGGTACCAGGATCACTGATTCGCAATCAGGCCAACTGGACTGAAATTACTGCTGCACTATAAAAGAATTACCAAAAAAAAAAAAAGTTCAGAGTAGGATAGATTGCTGCAAAGCTAATGGCTCAATGCAATCAACTCTCCACTGTCGCCACATGCTTGTTAAGCCATTTGAAATTGGTCGGATTTATTTTGAACTATATATCAGTGAATTATTTTACACTTGGACTTATTTAGGATGGATATAACTCACTTTGAATGAAATGAATTGACTATGTTTCTGCATAATGAATCTACATAGTGAATTGAAGTGGTATTTTTTTGTGAATTGGCGCTGTATAAATAGATTTGATTCGAATGACTTAAATAGATTTAACTAAAATATATAAGGTTGAGATAAGTAACTAACCTGCAACCTGGACAAAAACTCATTAAATTCAACCAGTTATATTCATTTTTATTGAATAAAGTTTGTCAGTTAAAATCTGCAACATTGTAGTCTAATATTTGCTAAATTAATGACATACGTGACTAGCTACAGTGTCTTGTAAAAGTTTTTCTTCTTTTTGAAGAAGAATTTTGTCATTTTAAAACCAAAGATCTCTATACGTTATGCGGGGATTTAATGCCATAGACAAAATAGCACGTAATTGTAAAGTGGAAAGAAAAATGACTAACAGCTTTGCACATCTAGATACCAAAATCTGAAGTCTTGCCAGATTCTCAATTGAACTTTGGTCTGGACTTTTACTAGGCCATCCAGACAAATAAATATGCTTTGATCTAAACCATTTGCTCCTAGCTCCGAGACTGTTAAACGCTGAAAGTGATGTTTTTCTCTCTCTTTTTTTATTTTTGAACTTCTACAAACAGAATAAATGCATAACAGATCACAGCAAAGACCACTAGCTGTGCATGTAATTCACTCCAAAGATCCAAATACTGTTATAAATGTTAAACAGGGCTGATTAAAGTTCCCCGAAAATCCCTAAAACTAAATACAATACAGTATTTTGGAAAGTATTCAAACCGTTTTTCACATTTTGTCAACTTATAGCCACAAACTTCAGTTTATAAACGAACACATTCTAGCAGATAATTGTATGGGAGGAAAATAATACGTGGTTTCCAAAAATACAAATTTGCAAAGTCTTCATCAATATTCAATCTTTCCAGTTGCAAGTCTTTGGGGATGTGAATCTACCAGTTTTACACATCAAGTCACAGGCATTTTGCTCATTCTTCTCTGCAAAACACCTCAAGCTCAGTCAAATTGGGTGAATAGAAACAATAAACATCAATTTTCAAGCCTTAAGATCTGCAGTTGAATTAGGTTTGGACTTTCACAAGGTGTTTAGGAACCTACACCGATCCGTCTTCCCAGCTTCCATGTTCCTGCTGAAGTGATGCTCCCAACATTGTGTTTCATCAGTGCAGTTTATATCCGACACCAGGTCACATTGAGGATGCTTTCCACAGAGTGAAGTGCATTGTTGGTTTTCCTGTCACACGTTACATTTTGCATTTACGTTAAAATGATCAACGTTGGCCTCATCTGACCTCGGTGTCTTCCTCCACATGTCTGCTGTGTCCTTTGTGTTGCTTGTGTCAAACTTAAAAACAAGATTTCTTTTAGGTCCCGCTCTTCTGATGGGATATTGTTTTATTGACTCTAACTGTGCTTTAAACTCTTCATGAGGTTTCTTAAAACCTGAGACCTTCACAGCTGGGGAACTTGTAAAGTTGGAGGACTTGTAAAGGCAATCGGTTGCACTCAAGCTACATTCACATGCATGCCATTTGTACCACTTGAGATTTATGTGGTTATGTTGGTCAGCCACATAAAGTCCTAATAAAACAAGTGCACAAACGTTACATGAAGGGGTATGAATACTTTTGCATGGGAATATATAACGTCTCCGTTCACATAGCCCATTCTTTTAGCCAGGATCTAACTAGAACAATAACATCCATCTTTTATTTATAACCTGTACTTCCAACAAGCTGTGCAGGAGCTCTGTGTAGTACACCTCTGCTCCACAACATCCTGCATGTTCCTCCTGATAGTTTTTTCCTGTGATGCAAGGAACTTTTTCTGCTGGTGTCAGACAGTACGCTGAGGTGCTGATATGTGCTCAGGATCTGGATGACAGAATCGAGGCAGCTCTGGGCCCCGCAGACGGAGAGAGCTGATGGGCAAACAAAGAGTTGTTGAGAAGCAGAGATTTACAACTCAAAGGAACAAACAGCTCAACAGAAACGGGCCAGAATTTGGCCGTCAAACTGCAGCAGAAATCACAGGTTCTGCTTTGCTGCGAAGGTGCGGGCCGGTTCTGCGCAGCATGTCAGGAAATCATTAACACCTCGCTGTTCCAGGGAGTTTTCAGTGGGTGAAAAGCAGCGATTTTCAGGCTCAGAAACACTCCTGAATGGAGAGTTTTCACCGCCGACGTGCGACTCTTGCATCAAGCGAGCAGACACCGGTTTGTAGACGATCTAGATTTTCTCTGGATTTAACATAATGATGGATAAATCCCTCCTGACTTTCTATCTCAGTAAGCCCACAAAGATCAGCCAGTCCATACATTCCCATATGTGCCTCTGGATTTAATAGATCCTCCCAGCAAAGCCTCTTCCTCCCACCAGAAATTACAGGGAAACAATAGAGGCTCTCTATCTCTTAGAAACATTTATTTGAGCACAATATATGTTAATTGACTACGCTCACGGAATACATTTTAAGGCTAATTTTTCATTACTCTAGCAGAAAGGGTCTCATAAGTCTCATTTGGAGGCTCCGACACTGGCTGCTTCCCTAAACCGGTCCAAATTAGGAATGCATTAGCGGCGCTTCTAGAAATTACGGCTATTGGGCAGATAAGATGGGACATAAAAACGCAATCCTCGCCGAGGCCCGGCCCTGACAGCTCTCAGAATATTTAACGCCTCGACACAGGCAATCAAATTCCTCCTCTCTTTTCATGTTTACCCTTCTGACAAGGCTACGGCAGCTTCAATCAGACCACGACTGATGTAACCCGACAAAAACACAAGAGTTATCTCCACCGAGGTGACAACGTGTCTTTATTCGAACACCCATCAAGTTTCATCATGATTCACAGCAATCAACAGGTAGAAAAAGAAAGGACGCATGTACAAAATTAGTAACGCAAGTTGTTTTTTTTTGTTGTTTTTTTCCCCTCAGAGTCAGGTCGAGGTCCAGGTGTGATCTTTTCCTGATCTGCCCCCCCCCCCCCCTTGAGAGAGAAAGAGAGCCTGGATGGTGACAAAGGGACCCGGCGTTTCCTCCGCTCCGGGGGATCGCCTCGACACCAGATGAAAGACACCGAAGGTACGCCGCCTATCCCAGCTAATCCAAGAGCAGAGTCAAATCAGAGAAATCCTCCAATCTGAATTCAATCCTTGGACACTTGTGCTGTTTGAGGGTTCGGATCAATGCCGGTAAGATAAAGAGGCCGCAGAGCATAACAGAGAAAGGGGAGAGCAGAGAAGAAGAAGAAGAAGGAGTGAGAGGGAGATGAGGGGCATGTGATAATGAAGCACTTCTGAAACCTGCACAATATTCTCACTGATCCCCACATGTGGCACCGAGAGATGAAAGCCAGAGGTTCGAGAGGGAGCGAGCGCTGGCATTTTTATTCCTCATCTAGAAACCTCCAAATGTCTGTGCATGCTTTACATTTTATTACTTTTGAGTTAAACATCTGCACTAATGTTCCAGACTTCAATTTCTAGATTCCCCACCCCCCAGCTGCTTTTATAGCATTCGACTACAAAACTTTGATCTGGTTGGGGATTATTACTACCAGAAAACTTAAAGCAACGCTGAGGTTTCTTTATTATTCAGCTCAGTGGGTAAAGAGCTGCTTCAACACTTCTGGCACTTGAGCAAAGTGATATCAGCTCCATTTGGAAATCTACAATCCTACATTAAATATACTTTATATCTTCCAGATGTTATTCTTGTAAAGTCGCACCATCTGTTGTAAAAAATAAATGGGTTTGCTTGGCAAAATTTAAGAACCAGCAGTTCTAAGAGTTCGTACTGTTAGAGGCCAATAAAGTAGAGAAACGATGGCCCTTTTTGCATCTTTAAATTAATTTATTTCCGGTCAGTGAGTTGGACAACAAGGGAAGATGTGATAAAGGAACTTACCTCAATATTTATGTAAAAAAAAAAAAAAAAAAAAAAAGCTTTTTTTTTTGGGACATTGACTTTTTAGCACTTAGTCAGTGGAAAAAAGGGAGTAAATCCAATATTTTTCCATATTCCTCCAGACCTTTCAGGACTCTACATCTTACCAGGCATGAGCTGGCTGAAGGTTTAAAAAGTTCTGGTTTCAAGTCTACAAGAACGTGCTATTATGCTTCTTAATAAACATTATTATAACTGATATCAATATGTCAGCTATTTTCTGTTTAAGCAATTAGGCCATGTTATATAATTTTGTTTTAATGTATAGCATTAATACTAACCTCACCATACAGCGAGTTTCACATATAGACTCAAACTCGTCAATAGTTTGCATTTTGATTCTGTTTTGTGACGTATTTTTAGAAGTAGTTTAGTTTCATCAGAGGGAAATGGCAGGAAACGAAAACCTGGCTGATGTTTGGAGGGATCAGACGCGACGCTTTGAGTTATCTGCAGCAGATGTAGATAAACGGAGACGCTGAAGTGCTTCTTTCAACAGCAGAGCGGATCGCAGCGAGACAGAGCAATTTCTACTTGTTTGGATGCGTGCTGCCGCTTCACAATACCAGGGATTACTCACTCTCCTCTCGGGATTACACAAGATGCATAAATCTCCTGCTAATATAAAATGTATCTAAGCTGGACAGACCCCATCCCAACACCAGGCTATGCATTCCCACACCCACCGGATCAAACCAGAATCTCTTTATGTTACAAACTAAGAAACAACTACAGAAGCACGTAATCTAATGGCCGATTTTGATCCAGAAAAGTCTGGATAATCAGTTGATTCCTTCATCTTTTGTAGAACAAATCCCAAAAACAAAATTAGTGAAAAAGGCTGGATAAGTACTATAACTGGTTCACCGTGTCCCCTCAAACCAATATTGGCTTCAAGCTGCTTCCGTTTTCGGTCGTTTCTCAGGAAGAAATCCCAACAAGCAGAAGCACAGTTCACCGAGGTGCTGTGATTGGTCACAGCAGAGCGAGACTTCTGTCCAATCACAGCTCTTCATGTCTCGTCCGACCAATGACGGTCAACTTGGAAAGCTGAGCGCTGAACTTTCCATCTCTTTGGGTCACTGGAATTAAGAAAGGAGAGTGGATTACTGCTGGAGTCTGTGCAGCATCACTTAACATTAGATTTATGTAGGTATAGATATGATTTCTGCTATAGCTGTGACTCCTACAGACTAAATATCAGATGTCAAAGCTATGATGAGGTTCAGAAGAGAAATGTTTTTGCAGAGAAAAATATGAGACATAAAAGTTTTAAAAATGAGACCAACATCAGGTCTGTGCTAATGTACAACCTTGATTTTTATCTTCTTATCCGTCTTATGGTTTTTTGCTTTATTTCTGCTGTTTAATATTTAGAAGTAGTTTTTGTCTAACAACTTGATCTTTTTTGCAAGAAATCTTAAATATTTTTTGAAGCCCTGACTTGTATCTGCTTTTTAATCTCCCATGATGCAACTGTCATCTTCCAAACATATTTATGACAAAAAATATAAGTACCAAAGCACTAACATATCATCATATATCAATATTTTGATTTATGGCTGTTTAGCTGAGCTTTTATATATATAAAAAATAAAATATAAAAAAGAAACAACTTAATTATTCTTCATACATTAAATAGTAGAAAGTATTTGTTGCCATAGAAACAACAACTGGAGCAGTTAATTTTATGACGTTTGGATGAGCAGACATTTTTGGACACTGCAACAAAATTGATTTGATGGGAACATTATTTCTTCGTACCTTTTCATAAGTAAAAATATATAAACATTTTCTAGATTCTATATTATTTTGTATTTATGAATACCAGTAATCTCAGGGAATCAAAGTCTTAATCTGAAGACAAACGGTACAATCATAAACAGTATGACAAAGAAAATATTCTACTACTACTACTTGACATAACCCAACACAAAGCGGTTAATAACACCATTGTAGCAATGATTTCAACACATTTTAACAATATTTATAACCATAACTGTAAAGCTCAGTAATAATGATTATTGTGATAAATTTTCAAACGCAAATTGTGATTAGATCATGGCTGCTTGAACAGATGTTTTGGAATAAAAAAAAAAGGTAATTTGTCTGGCAACTGGACAGGCTCTGTTATTTGTCTGAGCTCAGTGTGTTAAGGTTAGAATAACTTGTATAAATTAAGGTTCATTTTTGCTTTCTATAATTTATTAGTATATTTTTTGTTTTGTAGTTCTGTTGCTAAATGAACCAGTTAACTAGATTATTTCCACCTAGCTCTCAGGAAAAAAAAAGTCCTAACAAAAGAGCATTATAATTACAGCTGCCACTAGATGGAGAATGAAAACTCAGAGTGCAGCAATAAATGAATCACAGACAATTAAAGGCCAGCAAGGGATGCAAAATGTCTGGTTTTGGATAAATTATTCAGTGTTAGAATAGAGACGCATGCAGTTCTGATAAAAACCAGAAAATAAAAACATAAATATTTTAAAGCTGAAAAAAAAAAGAAAAGAAAATAATGAATGGTTTGTATAGGTTTAAAATAAGTCAATACTTTTAGCGCATCTTTGCATGTAGTTACTATTTTGTCCAACAGGTGTCTCTGTTTGGGTTACCGAAACCTGAACATCCCTTCGTGTGTTGCAGCAGGAGCACAAAAAGTGCTTTAGGGCTGTAGTAATTAAAAAGCCCCTTACATACTGTACTACACGCCGATAAGCAATCTATGCCTGGAATTCATCGCTCCCGCTGTTTCTCAGTGATGGGATTATCCTTAAGTCTGTCATCGGCGCTGAGTTCGGAGCCTGTAAGCCTCTGTACTTTAGCGTCTAATCTGCTGAAAATGACAGCTGAAGTAAATTGCCAGTCGGGGTGACTAGTCAAATCCTGCTAATCACAGGCTGGAACTGAAGCCCCAGTTGGGGATTTCGGCGGGAGCCGGAGAACAACAAATAATGCTACGGGGACGACTGTGAAAACCCACTCACAGCTGGAGCGCACGCTTCGCAGGGGAATCTGCAGGGAGCTTGCAACGTGATAATGGGAGGGCTGGGGGTGTGTGTGTGGAGGCAGAGAAAGAGACTGATGTGACAGGCAGAGGGAGTTGATTGAACACTTGGAGACACAATCAATTCCTCACCTGTTGATTCTCCTACGGTAAATTCGTCTGGCTTCAGAGGTACGTCACGCTGGCCTGTCACTGCCGTTTCTGACTGGAGACGCATCCGCAAACGACGAGGAGGAAACGGTGGAAAACAAAAACAAGAGATTAAAAAAAAAAAGAAAAAAAGAGAGAGATAACAGGCGGCGGCACAGAGAACAATGTCATTTGCACAGGAAGGAAGGAAAAACTAAAAAAAACAAAAAAACAAACAGAACAGAGGAAAGAACTCCGATTCAGCATCAAGGTCAAAGAGATGTGTTTGTGTATGCGATGTTGTTTCAGTCCCCTCACTCTGAAGTTATTTTCTCCGTTTGTCTTTTCCGTGCAGGGCACACAGCCAGAGCAGGAGGAGGAAACATGTTCTCTCTCTCTCTCTCTCTCTTTCTAATGACGCGAGTGTCAGGAATGTCCTTGCTGGGGGAAAGGAGGCGTGTCAAGGTGTGCCTCGCATCGCCTCGCAGACCACGACCGCATCAGATACGGCAGACCGCTGCGAAGTGACCGTCCGGACATTAACCTTCCACTGAAAACATTACGTGCAGAGATACAACTCCAAGTCGGACTCCAAAAACTAATAAAAGTTTGTCTTTTTGACTTGCGTGAAGTTGTAAAACGTTGGGAAGGCGCTGAGGCCATCGTTAGAGGATGAAAGCTGTGAACATGCAGAGGTGTGGAGCTCATAGTGGGTTTAATGGATGAGAGGAAGAGACATTTAGAAAACTAATTAAAATCAGGTGATTGTTGGCAGAGATTCTGGTAGTCAGATAAAAACAGGAGATTAATCCAAAAATTCCCCCGTAATTTAGACACAATTTTTTAAAAATACTACTAATAACTTAATAGTGTGAAAATGGTATGTTAGCATCCAAAACCTCTATTCTGACTAAAAAATATTAACCAAATGTAGCAGAAGAACTGATGTTAATTTCCCTTCATTCTTTCCCTTCTTTAAGAAGTTTCTTATTGGAGACTTTGGAGGACTTCCAAGCAGATAAGTCCCAACCCTTTCCTGAACTTTTCCAGATTTTTGGAAGATTTATGACAGCGTTTGTCATCTAATCCAGAACCAGGTTAAGAACCACAGGTACAGTGGAAAATCCTGATCTTAGAAGCTTCAGAGGCCAGTGAAATGTTTTTTAAAAGAATTTATCTGCATATTCTCAGTCGGTCTGGGTCCTTAATCCAGAAATAAAGTTATGATGTGGAAATTTAAAAAAGAACAGATGCCATAAAAGTTTTTTTTTTTTTTTTTAAGAAATCTCAGTTCTTTCAACTATGTAACTATATAAGAAATAATAACAGACATTTATCCAGAGCTGGAACATGATAAAAGGATTTTCCATACAGATTGAGATGAGGTGGATGAATATTGTGACTCAGACGTACAATAAATCCCTTCACTAACGCCACACGTTAGATGATTTCATGCTGATCTAGGAAAGTCATGGTTTTGTTGACAAATTCTGCCATTAAATGTCTATTTTGTCACAGAAAACAAGATCAAAGCATCAATGGTGACATCTCTTCCCCTACCCCCCACCTGATACCAAAATGTGTTGCTTAGAAGAAGAAATATGAAGCTGCAGAACATGAAAGTAGCCTTGAGTTTGACATGCGTGTGGCTGGCTGAAATGTTCATTATTTGCCGGCTGTGCAAAAAGATGTTCAGCAGGAATTCGCCTTGATTTTCTGACATTTGTGCAGATAACCGAGTAATGAAAAGCTTTTATCTCTCTACTGACAGCGTGTATGAGGCAGAATGGAAACATCAAGCAGCAATTCTTTAATGCTGTTCGTTAGTTTGCCTCGGCTTGAGAGGGTTTGTGGCAGCAGGTTGTCAAGAAATAAGATTTTTATCTCTAAAGGACGCAGAGTTAAAGGCAAACATAGGTCAATCCTATAAAATCATGCAAGACGGGATTTTTATGCCCCAATTTCATGTGGCTTAATGCCACTATTGATTCTTGATCAATTATCGTTTGGCTCTCATCAGTATTCAGCTGGTGAGGTGGCCATCGCTCCTTGGGGGTCAAGATCAGCTGACAACATCGGTTCATTAAAAACAAAGCCACAAAAGCAAAAAAAAAAAAAAAGAAGCAGAAATTAACAGCCTGGTTTCATACTTACAAAAGCGTTGGCATATTCAATTTTGGTTCCTTTCAGCTCAGCTTTGAACTGGGTGAAAAACAGGTATGATTTTCCCTGAGGCCTGAAAGAAATTAAAGACAGAAATGTTTAAACAATAATGATCCCAACACAGAGTCTCTTCAGTGTGCACTGCTCCGTGACAGATGCCTTTCTTTTACTTTCAGTCACACTCTAATGTGTCAGATAAAACATCATTTTATATCAAAGATAACAAAAATACAGTCAAACAGCAGTTAACCGATTTAACATAGTTACTCTTATTTGACTGTGGCCCTCCGTTCTTCACAGAAATGTTTTATTCTAAACACATTGGTCATGTACAGCATCTCAATGCTTTGACCAGGCCACTCCAGTACCTTCATTTTGTTTTGAGTCGTTCAGATGAGACTTGCTGCATTACACCAGTTTTTTGTTTTTTTTCCATTGCCAATTTGACATTTGTCACACTGTACAGCCTTTCTGTTTTCAAGATTTTTTTCATAGCAATATACGACGAGCAGCATGTCGATGAAAATGTCTGAAGATTTCAAGTTTTTCACTAGAAAATCACTTTCCATCTGCAATGTCAAACTGAATGTCGGCCACTGATGCAGCGAAGCAGCTCTAGACTTTCACATGACTGCCAGTTTCTGACACTCTGGATCTCTTTTACAACAAATCTAAAGGAATCCAATCCTTCTGTTTGACATTTGTTTTTTCTTATTCTTGAATTGTCATTTTAACTAAGGCGACCTCCAGGACTTCAGATGTTCTGGGTTCCTTTGTGACCTCTGGGATGGGTCGTCAATGCACTCTAGGAGAAATTTTTGGAAGATTGGTCAATCTTGGTAAAATTCCCCACAGCTGCAACTTTTCTCCATTTGTGAATAATGGCTCCGACTGTGGCTCTGAAACCCTTTCAGATACAGATGTTACAGACTTTCTGTTTCTCATCTATTCTTGAAGTTACTTAGGCGATGATGAGTTGTTTTCACATGATCTTTCGGTATACTTCATGTTGTCAGACGGGTTATACGCAAGCGATTTTCTCCCATGTTTCCGAAATGAAACAAATAATGAAAAATTGCCGGGTATTGCTTGACCACAGTTGCTGCTGCAGAGAGTTGCACAACCAGTTATTAGGTTTAGGGGTCAATAACATTTTCACACAGAGTCATGCCAACCTGACCCTACGTGAAGGTAAATGCAAACTGGGTTTTTTCCTCTTAATAAATCATTAATAACAACGACTTAAAGCTTTTCTACAAATCCAGGTTATCTTTGTGTGATATTAAAACTTTTCTCATCATCTTACCCATTTAAATCTAACAAAAAGACATTGTTAGAGGTTTTAGTTGATTGTTTTTTTTTTTTCTGCAACTGTCACAACTGACTAAAAAAATAAATAAATCAATGAGGTGACTCAGAGGAGCCGCAGATGGGACACGTTTGCGATGATGAGGACGGGGTCGGCCAAGTGAAGAGGAGGAACAACCACAGACAGTTTGGTTCGGTGAGTGGGCAGGTATTACTCATGTTGAGAGGAGGACACACATCTGTTCACACAGTCACATTATGGGAATGAATCTTCCTTATCAGGACGGACCTAAAGGATTCGTTTCAGGGGAAGACATGTTTTGAATGCAAATCGATTAAGTGTCGGCAAGTTGTGCCCGTCTCACCTCCACACGGAGCAGGAAAACAGCTGGTCGTCTTCGCTCAGGCCCACACTCATCAGCCATTGCTGTTTTAGAGCAGAGCAATATTTCACTGTCGTGCCAGCTGGGATTAATAGTAAATAAAACTTTAGGGTCCGAGTGATTAAGACAACACATACCTCATTAGTTCCTCCTTGTGAAGCATAGGTGAAGATGCACTCATACTTGCTCTGAAACAAGACAGTAAAAGATTTAATGCCAATTAGTACAAAGTCTGAACAACTTAATTTAATAATACATTTATTGATTTATTTACTGATTTATTTATATTTAGCAACAAATTAATTTATTAACTGACTGAGAACATAAAAAAGTAATTCAAACAAGATTACTATTAAATGAAAGTCGTGTTTAAAAAGAGTAAGAGAGTCTCTGACATTATTTTCTGTCACTCAAACAGTTCATACTTTGTTTTTTTTTAAATAGATAACCTAAATAAATGGGAAGCATTTATAATTTTATCACAGGGAAACAAAATGCCCAAAGTGCTATTTTTAGCATTTCGTGTCCAAGTTCATTGTTACATGAAGAAACACCAGGGGCTCGTTCTATGAGTTTAGAAAGTTTTCTCCTTCCGAATTATTTATAAGTCCTCCAAGGCTGAGAAATCTGAATACATTTCTTAAAATACTCTTAGAAAGCCTGAAGAGCTTTTCTGATGAAGATCACTTTAGGATTACACGGAAACCTGAAAAGGAACGAGGAAAGGAATCTTTTAAAATACCGGTTCTTGAAATGTCTGCAATAAGAATCACCCCATCAAACGTTTCACTGGAAATTCATTGGAAAAGCACACAAACAAAGTAAGAAATAAAATTTCATTCGTGTCAATTATGCTGTAACTGCCATGATGAGGCTTTTTCCAAACATGAGGAAATACCTTCTAATAATCAACATGATATTCCATGGAACACTCTTTAATGCTTGTACATCAAACATTCAAAAGTTTTAGGCTTATTTTCATGAAAATCTGTTCAGCGCCATTAAAATAAATAAATAAAAACATAATAAAAAAAAGTCTCATCCAATCAATGAAGCCCTTGTGGCAGATGAGCTTAGACGTGTCAGCGTTTCACTGGCTGTGTGGTCATCACTCCGCGACTACAATTTACCGATGGAATGTAGTTTTCCGCTTTCACCGTTAAAAATGCCAAACTTGACATATTCATCGTGAATATTTTAAAGATAAAAATGGGTTATGTTATTTTTTATCTTTTACAGTTCTAACTCGATAACAATGTCAATGAACTACACAGACCTACATAATGAATTTGACTTCCTGGAAAGGAACGCTCGGGTTAAAAATATTGGCAGGTTTTCGTTTCCAAGGCAACTCAATTTAAATGAGCAGTCGGTGGCTTCAGAAAACAAGAAAAGCAACTTACGACTTTCTCAGAGAAAGTGTGCACAACTCCTCCCGGCTTGACGTTGAACTCCACTACCTTTGTCTGCTCGGCCGAGACACACAGGGACATTGAAATCCCCAGAAGCAGAAGAGACATTTTACCGAAGAGCTGCATTTTCTTCCTCGGTCTTCTTTGATGTATGGTGTTACACTCCGACCAGTCAATCCGAATAAGAAGATGTCCCGTCGACTGTTAATGACGTCAGAGCCTTCGTCACGCTGCGAACCACTGCCAGCAACAGCAATTACCTGAAGGGAAACGCTAAAAAAATATATTTAAAAACAAGTAAAAACAATAATAATAATAAAAAAAGCACTTAGTTTAAATTTGATTTCACATGGTTTGGAACTCCTTTCCATAAGAAATGGACACACTCACTGTGGCCTGTTTATCACCACACGGTGACGCTCTTTTTCAACTAATACAACGTCCATGTTAATAGTCAGTCATCTGTGTTAAAAGTTGAAATATATGCATGTTATATTTTATCATACTTATTAGGTTATCTATGTTTACTGGCAACGTATTATTATTATTATTATTATTATTATTATTATTATTATTATTATTATTATTATTATTGCATTTAGGTAATGTTAAGGTATGTTATTAATTAATATTCAGTTTATTTTCATTTTACAAATATTTACATAAATAATTTTACTTTTTTCTTCAATATTTTTAGATGGATTTTTGTGGTTTGCTTTTCTTTTTGTTGTTGCCTTTGTTATTGCTAAGATTTATTTTAAATATATGTATTTTTTATTTCTCTAAACATTTTTCTATGTCATTCAAAAAGTATTCATATGATTTAGGTGTATTTTACAATTATTTTCAAAATATACAATAGAACAGAATAGAATAGAAAAGCAGCAAAATGACAGGCAAAGTGGAAACATGCATAGAGGTATACATATAAAAAGAAAAAATAATCTACAGAAATGGCAAATTTACAGCATAAAAATACAGTACAGATTCAAAGAAATGTGCAACTGAGTAGGACATAATTATTCCTTTATTCTAGGAATGTGTTGATGCAGACTCCTTCATTATTATACCTTTAGACTTTCTGCCTCTAAATATCATTTTATTTTATTGATAATAATATATCTATTTCCATTTAATTTTTATATTAATCTGTATTTGAGTTTATTTTTTCCATTTATGTCTGTAACCATTTCTTTCCAGGGTATACTCAATTATAAATGCCTTTTCCTCACAAATTGGTGACAGACAAGCGCTTAAAGCCAAAAACATGCAACATGTCACACATGCAATAACTGACGTGATTTTGTCTCACAGGAGACGGTTTTCCTGAGGTCTTCTTCTGCATGGCTCCTCTTATGTGGGCTTTATGTCTCTGGAGCCATTAAACATCCACAGGTGAACATGTTTCCTTCGAGAGGAGACATCCTAACGTTGTCTGGCACTCACATGCAAAGTCCACAAAACATTGTAAGCATTTGGACCAAATATTTAAACACAAAACAACCAGAGAATTTCAGCTTGTCAACCTTTTCACCCAAATCTGCCTTCTGTGCACTCTGCCTGACATCTCCTCCTCCTCCTCAGCCGGAGAACTTTTCTGCCAAGTTAAACTAGTCGGCCCAAGAAATTTTAAAAACAGGATGCATTCACTCAGCTAAGTACTTTGATATTTATACAGCAACTCAAAACAGCCATCTTCAGACAGGGAAAGCTCCTGTTAGATGCAATGATGTGCGACTGGTCAAACTCACATACGGCACTACTTGTTCTTCCGGGCAAATATTGTCTGCTCTACATCAGACACAAGACTGTGTCAGACGAGAGAAAATGATTTCCTCATTTAATTTCCCCTCTACTTGCACACATAGCTTTCACTCCTTGGTGCCAACAAACAATTCCCTGGAAGGTAAACACGGGCCACAGACAGAGAAACAGAACGTCAGCATCAAGAAGGCGCCAAATTATTTCACTAATGATGCGAACTCAGTGCTTCAGACTCGGCACACAGTGGGCAGCACTAAAGCCCAACACATTTCTGTGCCTCAGTGGCATGTTAAGTTTGTATTTTAGATAGTTTTAATCAGCTGCATCTGAACCGATGACGTTTAGAGAGTTCGTGTTATGGACACTGCAGGTTTTTCATCATGTGATCACTTCCCTCTTTTTTTTAAATCTCAATTCATTGAATTTTGTTTAATCCAGTTTTTATTTATACTTTAATGTCTTCTGGTACTTTTCACTTTTTCAGAGTCTTGCAAAAGCATTTGCACTGTTCTGACTTTTTCATGTTTTGTCACATTACAAACTCTAATTTATCTAAGTGGGATTTCATGTGATGAACAAATACAAAGTAGAGCATAAGAAGTGGAAGAAAAAGCTTTAAACTTCCAAGCTCACCAAAGTTGTAAATAGAAACCACCTGTTTGTAATTTATCCTCAGTATAAGTCCAGATGTTCTGCTTCATCTCTGTACAAACACCATCATGCAGACCAGGAAGCACCGCAGACATGTAAGGAAGGACGTTTTTGATCATTTTAAAGCAGTGTGAAGTTACTGAGGAGCAACCTGAGAGAGACCTGGAACAACAATGAACAAATCTTTTGGCTGGATAACTTTAGTCATGCACTCCATTAATCTGGTCTTTAAGGAAGAGTGGCAAAAAGAAAGTCAGAAGGTCTCTTTGCATCTCTTGGTCATTTAAGAGATATTAGGTACTCCCTTCAATAAAGATTTATGACAGATTATGAATATGAATATTACAAATAGGGGGAGAGAGGGTGAGAAGTGTTAAGGGGGTATGTTTATATGTTAATGAATTTCACACCTCTCATCACAGTGGGTGGTAACTATTGATGTCGTGAGATAGAGCAGATGTTAATGACTTATTGTAATTCTTTAGCACTGCCCTGTACTGTTCTTGTTGAGTCTGAAAGACACCCCCCTACTGTTCTTTTGCGGGATAGACAATCTGCTTCCTCTCCCCCCATTCTATGTACGTGGTCTAAAAGATGGCTGTCCTAGTGGTCTGAACGACTCGCTACCTTAGCTCCGATTGTTTGTACTCAGCCAGAAAGACACCTATCTCTTGCTCTTGAGTGGTCTACCCAATCTGCGTCCTCTCCCCCTGCCCGCACCCTTAGAGCATGGTTGTGTAGTGGGTATGTTTCGTTTTTTTTAAGGTAAATTGCACCAATAGCAAACTTAGTCAATGTTTTTATAAGTTGGGCTAGTTGTCAGAAGATGTAAGTAAGTCTCCATGAGAGGGGGTATTTAAGAAAAAAAAAATACAGTTTCACTGATTGAAATGTAGTTGATATGTCGCATATATATGAATTTGTGCAACAAACATCAAAAGAAAAAGAAAACAACTAAAACCTGAATGGCCATTCAATTTACACAGGCCATCATTCAATAAATCTATAAAACTCCAAGTGCACACATCAAAAAATCCAATCTAAATAAATAATACTAATTACATTACATATTTTAATACATACTGCCAGTACAACCTGTAAGAACTAACTCTGCTTTTGTATTTTAGGTTACATCTAAAGTTAGACTTTTATGTTTGATTCTTAAGTTGAAAGTTAAATCTAAAATTACAATTTAAAATAAATCCCTAGATAAGATTGAAGTAACTCTGCAAAAGAAACCCTGTCTATCTGTCTTTCTGACAAACAATCAGAGCTAAGGTAGCAACTCGTTTTACATCAGAGCAGGAGATGGCTGTCTTTCTGGCTAAGTACAAACAATCGGATCTAAAGTGGCCAGTCGTTCAGACCACTAGAACAGCCATCTTTTAGACCAAGTACAAAGAATGGGGGGAGAGGAAGCAAATTGTTTATCCCGCGAAAAAACAGTAGGTGTCTTTCAGGTGTCTTTTAAATTATCTGACTAATGGCACCAAGAGGATAAATCAAATCCTTGGCTGGTATTTTAGTTTTTCTGTTGGTGCTACACACAACTTTTTGCCATGAAACTGCCAGTCAGCTGTGAATATCCACCTTAGCTATCTCAAATATCAAATGAAGAATTGGTCTCTTGTGAAGAGCAAGCTTACAAGGCGCATTAGAAATAAACTTTCCTTAATTCAGGTCCTCTTTTTGGTCTGTTTAAAAAACAAACTGGCATCTCTTTAGCATCCCTGCAGTCTGCCCTGTTGGCTCGGACATGCCGACCGACAGTCTCAGGCAGTAGGTCCTCTGGGCGCAGCCGTGCAGACGGGCAGCCCACGATAACAACAACGGAGTTGAGGAGACACTGAGGTCAGCAGTTAGCAGACGGGCTTTCCTGGCCGTCACCGGATCTGTGGAATTTCTCTTCTCCTCGCCATCTCTCACAGGATCGGCCTGCAGGCTCGGCACGCCACCCTGCCCTGAGCAAACAGCACCCGGAGTCTCTCCATCACACTCAGACCCACTGCAGTGGCTCGGTTCTTCGGGGGCCAAAGAAGGCGTGAGCTCCACAAAGAGGCAATGTTTGGGTAAGAGGATGAATGAAATGGGTTTCAATCTAGAGTAATGAGATTATATGTTTGAAAATAAAACAGCAAAGCACCTTAGAAAAGTGAGCCAAAAATACCTTTGAATGGAAAACTCCATGAACTCACTTCTAAAACGCTTGCATGTTTCTTGCATAAACATCCCGAGCTACTTTTAGATGACTTTACATTACTCACGATTTTGAACACTGCTGAAATATAAATCTTGCTGCAATTAATGCATATTTAGTCTAGAGAGTTTAAAAGCATATCTGCTTATAGAGGAAATGTGGCTTGTGGCAGGATATAAAAGCATGAAAAACAAACTCTGTGTGTTTAAGTCTGGGGTATTTTTATTGGATGACAAAATTAAAAAGAGGCAAAAAGGGAGCACTGTTCAACAAAAACAAAAACTTCATTTATTATTTATACCCTTTGACATGCCAGCTTCTAAACAGCGTGCCACCAAAACCTGGTGACAAAGTGCAAATAAACCGAGACATTCCCAGGAGACTGACGTGGAGCTGTTGCCAGATGAATGTTTTCCCAATCAGTCACCCGCTGCAACGCAGCACAACAAATACACACAAACAGGCACCTGGTGTGATGCAGTGTTTATTTTCCTGCTATTTCCCAGACACGAACATGCAAAGTGCAATAATTGCAGCTATTTCTCAGAGGAGTCAAGCAATGAACCGCCCAACATTAAAATGCTCCTCAGTTTTTGGTGATTGCATGTTTT